TACTTTGCAATTGAAAGCAGTCCTAGGCAAGGCATACACTAGTGGTATTAGTGAGAACAATATTGATTCAGAGTGTAGCAAACTATACAGTTCAAAGCTACATATCAAGTGTAGCAAGTATAAGAATAGCTCAAGCAGTAGTTCAAGAACAGACTATGACACAGATTCTTACATATCTAGCAGCAATATACATGTTTTATCAATTTGGATACTTTGTGAAGGCACTACTAAGGATTCAGTAACGGAACAAGAGAGTTCTGCAACAGAACACAAGTTCAGGCATGTGAACAACACATTTGAAAGAGCAAATTCAGTATATTCAAGACCCTATAGGACTACAGGACTAAGAAATAGTACAGCAAACAAGCCAAGCAGAACTGTATGAAACAGTACCAGATAGCTACATTGAGGCACAGACAACTGTATGAAGCATACAATAACATTTTACACTTGAGAGCACAGGTATACAGTGTAGAAAGTATTCTACAAGACTACAGATACACATGGTACATGGAAAGGACTAGGAAACACACATACAACCATTGTTTTAAGGAATCTAAGACACTACAGGCGTAAGGCAACACATACAAGGACACTTTAGAGACACTACTACCAATTCTTAGAGCCACAAATCAAAACAATGCTCTTAAGAAATACAGGCTGTTCACAGACAACAGGAATGTGTACTAGGACATTAGGAAAGGACCTGAGAATGTTAGACAATCAGAATATAACCAGCCAGATAGTATTATAGTTTACAAGACAATGCAAATAGTAAACTGTGCAAGCAGGACAATCTATCAAGCATTACTAGACTATAAAATATGACTACTCTTGGATACTGAGAAATATTTCAATCCAAACGATTCACACAGGTATTCTATTAAGTTAGAAGGCTACATCACACATTAGAAGACAGACATCAGCACATTGAGTAAGGCAAAGTGTATATACATCAGGAATAAGATGATACTGCTTCAGAATAAGCATCAGGCATGGAAATATATTGACAGTGATAGAAAGACACAGACATACACATACACAGTCAATTCTATTCAGTACAGGAAGAGATACAGGATTAGTATTGAGTACTACAAAGGAACTACGTCAGTTGACATTGGAACAGACATTTCCATCTTCAGGATTGAAGAAACAATCAGTAATGAGCACAATTGAAGTAATTTGCATAGAGCACTGTTCTATAAGGTACAATTGGATGTTACACTATGAAACTACTCAGTTTATGATGAAGAACTGTTGGAAAATGCCAAAACCAGTTCAGAACACAAGGATATATTGTACAGAACACAGTTTCAGGAGAACATAAGGTATTACATTGTGAAATACACCTTCAGACAGTCAGGATTCATTGGAATAGACTCAGGACACTCTATCAGGTGTATTATAGACATTGTAGGCACTCAAACAGATGTGCTAGTACACATATACTCAGGATACATAGTAAGGATCACAATATTCAAGCTACAGGATGACAAGTACAATCTACAGGATGTGAAACCACTACAATCTATGTATCAGAATGACAGTAAGACACTACTGAGATCAGGAATGGATACACATCATATGGAACAAAGTACAGAAGTTTAGAGGGCAACTTTAAGCCAGAGAACAGGTTTGGAACCCAGACAATCTGCTCAATCCACTCAATCTGCTCAAACAGATTATCACACCACTTCAAGGGAAAGCAAAGGCAATACACATACAGCTAGCAAATATCAGAGTGATAGTGAATTAGCAATGATTGATCAGACTATTCAAGCATTCAGGCATGATACTTCAATGCTACAGAAGGAAACAGAGCATTAGGACACTCTAGGACATCTATTGAACAATGATACAGTTCAATCTACTCTAGGAATAAGTAGTTACAATCAGTTTGAAGTACAAAATCATACAGAAGACCTCTCCAGACACTACAGATATGTTCTAGGACAGTACCAGACATCTTACACTGAAAATGAAGTCATATTTCAACAAGAGGGTGAGAGGCACACACATTGCATTACATACACACTCTTTGAGTATACAATCATGTTTGAACATACAATTTTCTTACTTGGATTGCTACAGAATGATTTTGCAAAGGACTTTACAGTACCAGACAGTATCAGTACTACAGGAAACAGGACACATGATAGGTACACAAGGAAAGAATACATCAGAACAAGGACAAGGACACAGAAAGACAGGAAGTCAATGCTAGAACACATCAATCCACACATGGATTTGCCAAATGAACAGAGAATTGGCAGCATACACTCAGGACTTCAGGCAGCACTACTGTGCATACAGACAGGACATTTCATTAAGACATACATGGAACAATGTAGCATACAGACAGTTACAGCATTCAGGAAAGTAGAGAATGCTACTTGGACACAGTGTGATAGAACATTACACTATGAGACATTGAAAGTATACTCAGACAATTCAGGAATCGAATCAGTCAACTTACAAAGACACAAACGAGTTGAGATACAAGGAAACAGTATGAGAATACAGTAGGACATTCATTGTGCACAGAGATACTGTACATATACTCACATATCTAGTGATATTAGGCTCATACCTCACAATCTTATTGAATTCAAGACAATATTTTCATTCAAGGACAAATATTACACTCTAGGTTACACTCTACAATTAGTATTTGGACATCAGGCTCAACAGGATATCCAGTGTTGCATCACAGTTGGTTATTGCACACAAAAGAGTACATACTTGGAGATATTCTACCAATACAAGTACAAGGCACTACATTTGCAGGAACTAGTCTATTGGAAAAATCGAGGACATAGCAGAGGAATTTTGGAATACATCTCTGCTATCTATTATTGCATTACTATTCTACAGAAGCAGAGAAACGTGCAAGGTCAGCTAGAAGCCACAACACTAATCCATTCTATTGAGGAAGAAGGCTATAGCTTTGTTGATCAGGGATTTACCTCTGTGCTTCCCAAAGACACAGGAGAAGAGAATATTTGCAATTACCATGCTGCTGGAATTTCCACTTCTGTACATATTGATCTACACTGTGTGTCTCAGAGTACCCAAGAGCCAAAACACTATATCTCTCCAGGAACTCCACAGATTCCCTTCAAAAAGTGTTGTATCAATAGCAACAATCAAGAGGCAACTTTCCTACTAATTGACTATACAGTAATATTGACTATGTTTAATTCTATTAACGTTTTATCTAGTTTCACATGGTTTGGAACCATGCTACTCACTGTCCAGAACACCACCACTGTCTCAATATGTACCAGATTGACTTCGGATCACTTCAGAGAGGCAGTACTACATCACGACAATGTTTCCCATATGTATGGGCAAAGTATTTTATGTATAGTATTAAAGCTGTATAGTAAACTTTCTACTAACCCTTAATTATCTCTCCTCTTCCTTAAGTATGACTCTCCTCCTGAACACATTTATAGTAAACTATATTGCTTAGTGTTAGGAATTGTAAAATACAGTAACTAAGTTTGGAAAAGCTTAACTTAAGACTTAGGACTAAGTAGTTTATATACAAAACCCTATTAGTCACAAGTCTAGAGATTGGCCAGATCAACTAGGCTACCTTTGTTGTCCTGCTTAGTAAGAACTCTAGCTCAGCATTATTAACCTCTAATCATTACTAATAGGTGATCAATCCATCAGTAGAGAGAGGGGACAGGAAGGAGTAGGTACTAAGTCAGTTAGGAAAAGGTAACAAAACCTGAGAACAAGGTCTTTATCTCTCTAAGGTTAAACACATACTCTAGTACAGTATTACTTAATAACCTCAACTAAAGACAAGTCATTTAGAATGCTTGTATGGAGAGGGGATCTGGAAAGAGTACAGTGTCTAGAGCAAGAAGTATAAAGGAAAAGACTAGGAGAAAACCTAAAGAGATAAAAGGAAAATATTTATACTTACTTACTACATAGCTAGCTAGGAATGCTTTGTACAAAGACAAAGGACCATTAAAGCTAGTAAAGATTCAGAGCCAATACTCTGTAGCTCTATACTTGAGGAGGACTAGTACTAGTAAAGGAAAGGGAACTGAGAGCTCTGAGGAGAGACTACAGGAAAAGTAGTCTCCTTTATACACTTTGCCCATATAGATAGGAAAGTAATAAAGTTATAAACATGAGGACTACATGAGGACAACATGAGGAATACATGAGGCAATCTAGAACTTTGGTTGTAAGTTCTATGATTGAATACAGAAGCATAAAGATAAGACTAGAAGTTAATAAGGATAATTGTCTCCTAAACTAAGTCTATTAAAGAAGACTTAGGGAAAGATCTAGAACTGTTAGTAACAGTATAGAGGGGACCTGAAGGCTCAGTGAGGGGACCCAGGCTACAACTATCCTATACAACAGAAATACAGAATGTAAGTACTAGAACATAGTTGGAACTTACAGAACAGGCAGAGAGAGAGAGTAAGACAAGAGTAGAGTATATAGAGTGAGCCTAAGAGTACAGGACTACCTAGAGTAGACAAGATCAAGACTACAGGACTAGTCTGATCTTGTACACCTATATATACTAAACTACACAAGAGTACTCAGGGAGTATGAGCTACTAAGAATGATAAGTGTAAGGAAACTCACTGTTCCTCACAAGAGAATTCTAATTGCCCTTAGTTCACTCAACTACTGACTGGGATAACCTAGTACTTGAGCAAGGGGTCAGGGGAAAAGAATCCCCTTTACCCAGCAGTCAATACTGTCTTTTATAGGGGTATACACGTGTAGATACATGAGGAGGAAGTGTAACTAACTACAATGAGAATATATGCACTTGTGGGTCCTACTGCACAGTGATCTGACGCAATCAGCAATGTAGTAATAGTAAAATACGAACCAGTAAATCAAATCCTTACACTCACCCTCTAGTATTTAGTCCTAAATGCTAAAAATCAGTAGAAAAAGGTAGTGAACTTACTTAAAAGTAACAGTTAGTAACAAGTAAATAATACTGTTAGTCTCTAAAGCTCCCTGTAAGGCATATAATGAAAAGGAGGAGAATAAGGGTTGTCTAAGGCTTTAAAGATTGTTGTTAGTAAGGGCTGGTAGTGTATTCCCCTGACTTTGAATTCAGGAGCTCTTTCTTCACCCTTAGGCCACTTCTTGTTGTCTTCAGGAGGTAGCTTGATCTTAACCAATCCTTTACACCAGTCATTAGAATAGGAAGACTTGAGGGAATCATTATTATAGTGTAGACTGTCAATGTATGAATTCTCCCACCTTGCTCTATAGTCTACTAAGTCTAATAGCTTGAAGTCTGGATGAAGCAAGACTTTGTACACAAGGACATCCAGCTCATTATTTGTCTTTTCTTTCACTTTACAATTTGCCTAGCTTGTTAAAAGGTAAGTTGCTACATTATTAAATAGTGCATATTTATTAGTAATAAGTTTAGGGAGTAAGGATGTTTGAGTCAGAGCATCACCTGCAGAAAGTCCAGGTAAGTTGTATAAGTCCTCAAAGTCAAGCATCTTGTCAGGGAAGTCATCTGGCAAATCTGGGTACTCTCAAAGTAACTTGTATTTATTTGGCTTGGACAAAAAGAGCCTCCTTCTTGTTCCTTGTATGATTTCTAGAGTTGCTAGAGTCAGAGAGGGGACTCAAGACAGTAGAGAAGGAAGCTGAGATAGTATAAACTCAAGAAGGTGTGGAAGAGATACAGTAGGAAGTACAGACAAGTTTGAAGTAAATAGTAGGAGATCTGTAAATTGCTTTAGTAGTTGTTTCTTACATTTAGTTCCTTCAGGAAACTCAAGAGGCTTGTCAAATAGGGCTGGAACAGTCTGAGTATTATCCTCTACTTTGAATGCCTAGGTCTCAGCTACACAAAATGGTGAGCATTGCTTAAGAATCAAGATACTATTACACATACCTAACCTCATTCTCTTTTTCACTTTGTTATTTGACTCTCTAATGTGTTTTAGAGAGTTCAGACTACTACTTGTATCAACACAATAATTGTAATAGATTGCTTGTACATTCTTCTTCTTAAAGACCTTACTACAAGCCTCACAAACAAAGGAAGGCATCTTAAAGAGTTAGAGAAGTACAGTCTAGTCTGACATATACCTTTGAATGTCTGCTTTACTAGTATCTGACATGCAGAGGTTTACAACAAGATAGATCAATATTAGTGATCTTCACTAACTAGGACTGAGATTTAGATACAGTAATATGTACTACTACTGTTAGTACTCCCTCACAGTAGTGTAATTTACAGATATGCTTGCTATGACAGTATATGTGCCTATACAGTAAACTGTAGAAGAATATTGAAGCTCATATCAGCCCTTCTCAATTTACTTCCCTTACTGCCTTACACACAGGTTGTAACACAAGTCTGAGACTGTGTCAGCCTGAGAGTACTCTAGAAAGTAGTAAGAATTGAGAAAGAAGACTTGCACAAGCTGTGCAAATCATAGTAATCACTATTTGTAACACTACTAGACATTGTTTATTACTTTATATAGTTCATCTCTGTCTTCTTAATAATTTGCATTTGCTTTAAGTGAGCAATCATCATTTTCTACTCTTAGTACAAGTCTAAGAAGTGGGTCAGACCTCTTCCTAAGACTTGTACAGACATATACTCTATATAGTAAGTATTAAGGTACACTACAGTCCTACAACAATAGTACTGTCCTCTATACTAAAGTACAAGTATCTTAGTACAAGTAAATTGAGAAGTACTACTAGACTAGAAGGAAAATAGTAAGCATTTTCTTGATTGCTGAGTAGTATCAGATCCACCCATATGTTAACTTTAATAGTAAGTGGGTTCTGTATTCAAGCTGTACAAAGTCCATTATTATAGTTACAGCCTACTGTATGTTATGAAAGATGCCTTCAATTCTGTACATAAAGCTAACTTGAAGTTCCCTAGTAGCTTGGCCAATATTTGACCCCTAGCTTGGATGCAGACTAATATTAATGATTTTGAGCTAGTCAATTTATGTATTTATTGAATGTTACTAAATATATAGCTGAAACACTGAATTTACACATGTCTGAGCTAAGTATTTTATGTGTGTAAGGCTATGTACAGTGTATACAGAGTACTAGCAGCTAAGTGACTGTATACTTCTTATTTTAGGTATATCAAATCCTCTCATTTTGGATACACCTGCTTTTCCTAGTGTATTTTTGCTAGATAAGTCCTTCCCCCCCCTCTACAAGAGCTCTTATTGTCAACACTCTCAGGCTCTTGCCCTCAGTCACAGTTACCTTACTTCCTTGTCCTTACTCACTCACTCCTTTCATCCTCTTTCCATCTTTGACACAGAAAGTATTAATATTACTACTTGTTAGTAGTATCCTAGTCAGTACTGTTCCTTGAATCACTTTTAATAACTTGCTAGACTTTGCTGACTTACTCTCATACTATCTCTAACACTCTCAGTCCTTGTTCTCTTGTCTCAATCCATCTTCCTCTCAAGTTACTTAATATGCCAGTTTGTTTTCACTCATACAAACTCAGGTTGTCCTCCCTACCCCCTCTCAACCAAGGACAAGCACCAAGCCTTGACCTGAGTGAGGTTCCTTCTCTGCCAAGTGTCCTACTGTCTTCAAAACAGTAAACACTTGAGAAGAGGAGCCTTGTAACAAAATCTGGCCATTCAAAGCAAATCAAGTGAGTCATCTTGTTGTTTTTATATACTATTACATTCACTTATAACATTTATAATACACAGGTACAGAGACACACTTGAACAAATATGTCAGCTCTCACAGTCTATCAAGCAGAACATTGACCTTTGGGTTAACATTCTAGGTGCTATAAACTATGGTATAACTGTTGAATCTCTTGAAATGTATTCAAGAATGGAAGTGACAGCTGTAAACTATAACACTAAGGACATGGAACTTTGCAAGAGAGTTATTACAAATACATAAGTTTGATTATATTCTGCTCCTCTGGCAATTACTGACAACTCTGTGTCAGTTGTAAAGAAGAGAAGGACCTTCTCTTCAGGGTTTATAAGAGTGTCCTTGTGCTCTTTTCTAATAAGAGGGCCTATTATGAAGTGCTTTCTAGTCTAGAGGCTAAGGCACTTTGGGTTGAGGTATGTACATAACACAATGAAGTTGCACCTATCCATTCTATCACATTCCTTACTGTTCTACTCCAGTTGACAGACAAAATAACTTTACAACCAATGTCCACTCTGCAGCCAATACATGTGTGTGTGTACTATCCCCATCTATCTTCATTCCCTCAGAATTCATTCTCCATCTCTGTCATCAGACTTTCATTATCACACACTGTATTCTGTAGTCACTAATGATACTAATCTATTCTATTTACTTTAGGTGAACAAGAAAGCAGAGCAAGGTTGTAGTAACAACACATCTACACTCAAACAGAGGGGGCACTACCATGTGCTCAAGGAAGGCCAGCCAGAACCACCAATTGACAATCAACCAAGTAAGATGGGCAGAGGTATACACTATCCACAATTGTTACAGATGATTGTACTAATACTACTCCTGCATGCACACAGTAGTGAGGAAAGGTATGCAGACCAACAGATGAAGTCAAACAAAAAATGAACACTCTTACTCATATCCTTACTGTATAGTTTCAAAGACAATGTAAAGTCAAAAAAATACCTGATCACACATAGGTCATTCCCTACATTCCTGTATGAGGAAGGGTCATACAATCCAGAAGTAATGGACAAGGGCCTATTCCAAGGCTGTTTTCTTGTCAAAGTAAGTACACTCCTATTATTCTTTACAAATACTAATACTTCTTTTGTAGTACCTTCAGCTGATCTTTACAAGCCCAAGTTCTACAAATGCTGAGCCTGGTAGCAAAGGTAAAACAATGTAGGCAAATAATGCTGAGATTGTAGGTGTGAAGTCTGTCACCCTAGAGATGATTGCTTACATATGTGTCCAGGTAAGTACTCAGGCTACAATAGTGATATAATCTAGTAATACTGACAATACTTTTGATATGATAGGCACACTTTTTTATTTCAACACTTGAAACCTTTGGCAAGGTCAATGAAAATTTTAATTTCAAAGTGTTTTATTACACTATTCTCGAGTTTTTCAAAGACTGCAAGTCTCTATAAGTCTAGGACACACTTAATTGGTGGAATGGGTATGTTTTATACATTTTTAAATTTACTTAAAGCTACATTAACTAACTACCAGGTTTCTAGGCAGGTTTTTGGCTCCTCTGGTGAATTGCTCACTATTGAACCTGAGGAGGACAAGGAGTCATTGATTACAGCCATTTTGAGAGCTCAGAAGGTTTGCAAAGGGTGTGGACAGTCCCAAGCAGGAGGATTGGCTGGCCAGGGTCAAGGACTGGCTACTTGAACACAAGACACTCACCTGCCAGACAATACACACATGGATAAGGTTTAGGTTCGTTTTTCCACTTTCTAATTCTACACATTGACGTTCACCTTACTTGCCTCATTTAGCAAGTCTTGTAACTGTTTCCCTTGCTTTGTGTTAACAAGATCAGCTGTTTGTCTCATTTCTTGCCCTGACACTCATACAGTATGCTTTCTGCTTTTGCCACTTTTCTTCTCACTCCTGCACCTGTTAGTGCTATAATTAGTATTTAGTAATGTTGTAATATTGCCACGAAAATATAAATAATTTGAATCATTATTAATGCATGTAAGGGCGAAAAAGTAAAATGAATATAAGTAGAGTTTGTATATACATTGCAATTCTTTAGTAAGGCTTCTGTCAACATTATAAGGCAGAAAAATGTATATTGGTTTGGAACAGTCTTTTAGACTGTTATATTAATTTGCATACATTATAATTAATACCATCCTTCCTATAGTATATACTCCTCATCATTTTCGAGATCAAATATAAGTCATTTTACTTATTGTAAGGGATAAAAAACTTTATGTACCTTTATAATGTGAACAAATCTTTTATGCCTTATAATGTATACAATGT